TCATCATCATCTTCTTCATCATCGTCGTCGTCTCTACTTTTTTAAACGAAATACAAAACAAAAAGAGTATTGCAGTGAAGCCGTTTTAAAGTAAGATACATTATTTACACTGAGAACGAAGAAAAGAAAAAAAAAAAAACAACGCTACGTAATATTTTTCTTTTTCCAGGAGAGAAAAAAAATAAAAATAAATAAGACTAGAAATGTATTTTTTTTTAATGTGTGTGTGTGTGTGTGTGTGTGTGTGTGTGTGTGTGTCCACATTCACAGCATGACAAATCATATTCAACTCGTTACTGTCGACCCCGTGTGGCCAGAATAGACTGAGATATTAGTAGGTAAATTCAGTGATTATTGCCAAAAGCCTTAATCTATACATTATAATATTCAATACATACTCTGTATTTTGTTTAAAAAAAGGGGGGAAACATTTTGGAAACTGCTACTTGGATGATTGTACAGCTTAAATACTTCTAGATATATATATGTATACTTTTTTTAAACCCTTTTTTTTAATTTTATTTTGTTCATAGCTTTAACTCGTTGGCAACTTTGGAAGCAATGTTTTTGAAAGCGATGGATGATCCGGATATCCGTTTGAACCTGACGCCGTTGAGGGAGAGTCGGGGCAGCTTGCAAACCTCCATCTCCCACTGGACCAGGTTCTCGGCTCGCCCGTCCCCGTGGACGCAAAGAAGCAGGAAACTCTCTTGCTGCTCGTAGTCGCAGTTGTTGGCGTCGAGCACCTTGCGAATCTCCCGCATGATGTCGCAAGGCTCCATGGAGCTGGTGGTCCTCATACTCCAAGTGAATCTGAGGGAGCGGGGTTTACTGTCTTTATTTTCCCCTTTTTGATCCCCAGGTACATGGCGACTGTCGGGAAGAGGAAAGAAAAACAGGTTTTAGGATCGTATGTTGGCTGGATACACAAAGCTACCAGCTACAGGCAAAGTCTGAAGGAATAATTCGACTTTTTGGGGGTTTTTTTTGCTGAGAATTAGTTTTAACAGGACAAATTATTTCACAAATATGGTAAAAAAAATGTTTGTGATTAGTAGGAATGATCACAAATTTAATTTTCACTGAGAAAAACTTTAAATCGTGATGTTAAATGTTTTTTTTAGGTCTGTAGCAAACTAACTACTCTTCAGATATTCACTATATTTCATTATAATGCTGTTTTGTGACACATTTTTACATTTTATCAAAAACAAATGCAGCTTCTGAGATTTGCATATTGCACTTGACCACATTTTATAGATTAAAGATACAAATTCAAGTAAATTTGGAATTATTAATTAATACTTAATACTTCAATGATTAAGTGTCATTATATGTGCACTAATTTGCATTAAGTCCGGCTAATTTTTAGGCCCAACTAATTGTCAGAACTTTATTTCTTGCTTTAATTGTGATCAATAAGTAAATATCCGTTAATAGATTTTCGTCAAAATACTGTTTTTAATGTCTGAAAATGTCACAAGTGCTAAAAACAAAAATTTGTGACAAATTCATCACATAAAATAATAATAAAAAGGTCAAATCTAAAGGTGTTTTTTTTTAATATAATACAAGAATTTAAAGCAGAAGATCAATAGATCAATAGATCAATAGCACTCTGTTAGCTTAGCTTAGCATAAAGAGTGGAAACAAAGGTAAACTGTTAGCCTCATAGTCCGAAGGTAACAAACAGGTTATATCTTATTTAATTTATACAAAAAGACTTTTACTGTTATATTTTTTAGTGGACTCTCAGCAAAACGTCGAAGTATTCCTTTAAACAACATTCAGCTTGTGGCCGGTGTTCGTTTCCACCAGGACACATTCTGGCCCCAGTTTGTTTCTGATGTATCGTCGTTACGTTCAAAGTCACAAAGTTTAACTTTAGTTTGAAAAACCAAGAAAGTTCATTAACAACAATTTACTGCTTTTCTGAAGATATTTCCCCAAAAAGACTCTTTTAACCATCTGGATGATTGTTTTTATCGTTTTTTTCTCAGGTCATTGTGTCCTTTAATGTCACTTTTGTATCACATTAACAAAAAATAAAAAGGATTAAAGTAAATCTGGAGGAAATATTGAACTCGTTGGCAGATAAAAAGATAAATGTGAGGTTATTAAAGTTAAAAAAGGTCGTAATAATGTGTCTGTGACTCCACTTAGTGTTGATCAACTAAAACTTCCACTTTAGTTCATTAATACATTGAATTTATTTGGTTTTATTGGTTTCACTTTGAGTCCACTTCCCGGTTGAGGATGGCGCTCTCATGAACACTCGTACCTGAACGTCCCTCCAGTGTTGGATATATGGTCCGTACCAAGTGAGACTTTAGGAAGGGGGGTCTCAGTAAAATGAACTCTAGCCTGAACATGTTGTTGTTATTAGTTATTGTACATTTTAATTCTGTTTCCATACATTTAAGGGTATTAAAGTATATTTAACAGCTCATTCGATTAACCTGAACTTGCATATGAAATATTCTGCCATTTGTTTCAGAAATGTTACGTTATTGTCCTTTAAAATGAACCGAAAGGACCCGAAACAGAGTATAAACTTGTAAAATAGGTTAAAAATCTTTTTTATTGAGCAGTAAATTACATTTATCTTTATCCAGATGGTTAAAAGAGTCTTTAAAATACCTTCAGGACATGTTTTAAAGGTTTTTAAACGTCTGAATTTATGTATTTAAAACTCTGTGACTGAATATAATTCAAACTGGGGCTAGACACATCCATGCTGTATTAATGGCAGGTTTTTTTTGGCAGGTGGGGGTGAAATTAGGAGCATTTTTCAGGTCGACAAGAACACAAATATGCCATGCTAACAGAGCAGCACACGGGAACAGTGCCATGCAAACAACACACTCAGGAAAAAAAGGCTCAAATGCAACACACAGGGTTTCAAACATCCTACGCAAGCATGTCGAGCGCCTCGAGACTGCAGACGAGGACAGACTGAAGCCTACGGGTTTAAAAAAAAGGGGGGACCGACACATTGAGGGAGGGGTTTGGGAGGTAAGGGGGGAGATAACCTCACCTTGAGCCCTCAAGTCTCCCGTTTCTCTCAAACTCGGTTGAGACTCTGAGGCGCATGAAGATCGGACGGGGAGGAGGGGGAAAGAAGAGGAAGAAGAAGAAAAAAAAAAAAGATGTGGATTGTGCACAGAAATCATTTTAGATCATTTTCCAGTTAATTAAATAAAATAAATAAAAAAAAGAGAATGTGTGTAATAAGAGGGAGTGACACCGATGTGAAACCACCACCGAGAAACAACAAAAACACAAAGAAATGTTTGTTTTACTTCCAGTGAATCATGAGGAAATAAAAACAGTGATGGATGTTGATCCCGAAACCCGAAACCAACCGTTTTAAAAAGCAGACAGAGAAAAACAATCTTTTTTTTTTTTTTTAAAAGACACACAGCAAGACGGAAACGCAGCTCACCGACTGGCGAGAGAAACATAACGACAGCCTGCAGGTGAGATTCAGGTCGGCTCCTAACAGACGTATAAAGGGAGGGAGGTGATGGTGCAGTGATTGGGTCTCTTATTGGTTTATTTGGATCATTTTTATTCCCTTTTCAGTGGTTTTAAAAGCAGGGATGGCTGATAATGATGAGCTAACGTATTCACAATCATGTAAAAATGTTCATTATTGAACCTGGAAACTGTAAAATAATCTTTACAGACTTATGTTGGTGTAAAGAAGCAAAAAGGAAGACCAAGAGATGTGGTTAAAAGCTTCATGTTCAACGTAATAAACTGTCTTTACTGTTAGAAAATTAAGAAGTAAAACTAAAATGTGCAAAACAAAAACTCAGTTCAGGGACTCATTTGTGTTAGATTTTGATTTAAATTTGTTTAGTATTAATTAGGAAAATTAAATGATTAACACAAGGTGATTCTATCTTTCTACAATCTTGTGAACAGTCCCCCTTTTAAAGCTTTAGTATCTGATGTTTGTGAACTTTATATCTGTTAAATCAGTTTCTCATGTGTTCGTTCTCGGGTTTATTAAAGTTACTTAATCTTCAACAAATACTGATGGAAAAGCTCGACCACAAACAAGAACTCGGACACATGAACACAGACAAACTTTTTCCTGGTTGTAACACGACGCTGGTGAAATAACTAAATGTTCCCCGACAACGTTCCTGTGACTGAAGCAGCGACACGTTCAACAACTCAGCAGGAAAATTACCTCGATGATGAATAAGTCTGGTGGCGAGTTCAGAGGAGAAGCTGAAAGTCTGTCAGTGTTTTTGTGGATGTTTGCGGCTCCACGACTTTATTTATTGCTAATATTAGAAACTAGAATCTGAGCTGATTCGATTTTAATAAAATTATTTACATCCTGTCACTCAGAAAATAGATAATTCAAGTTTGATCACAGCTGTGTGACGCCATCCACAACCTCACAGATCAAAATATGTGACTGTAACTGACACAACAACTAGTTAATATAAAAACTACCGTCTCTGCATCAGGTAACTTCTGGAGAATGAATTACGCTTTGAGTTCTCAAATTTAATTTAAAAAATAACTGAAGATCGGCTGCATCGACCATTAGAGTCAACATCTGAAGTTACTATATACTGTTTTTCTTTAAAAAGGTTAAATCTATATATGAAGTTTAAAACATTATATCACTGTGTGAAGACAGAGTCCCATGGTGTCTCTCTCCCTCTGCCTGTGTTGTATCGCAGCCTCTCTGTGGTTTGTTTCCATAGCCGGTCTGCTCCGACTGAAAACTGCTGTTTTTATCATCTACG